CCTCGGTGTTCTCCAACTGATGGGAACCAATTTTTTATTAGTTTTTTTCCTTCCTTTGCGACACAATCCGGTGGTATATAAACCAAATTTTGTACATGGTCAGGAACAATCTAATCAGACATGAGGGGTACTGGATAAATCGTCCTGCAATACGCTAAGGTCTATAGCTGCATCCAATAATATCAAATACTCCAGTTTCTCTCAGTAATACCCGTTGTCTTAGTAATACTAGTTGATCTAGTAATATCTAGTTCATTTACCCAAAAAATTTATATTTATCTACGAATCTACAACGATTTACTACGATTCGGGATGATTTGATGCACATTTAACGATTATAACTGGTCTTATTTACTGATGTAGACTCTTATCATAGAATTTCAATAACCCAATAATCTAAAAAAAATCAGAGCTATGGCGCCGTGAAAAAGCAAGAGAAACTATGAAGAAGTTGAAGATGTGGCCCGTGAGTGGTTCAAAATTAGTTGAGAATTAAACTAGCATTCTCCTTGTCATGTCTTCTCCATTCGGCGTGTCAGGAAAGCAGGTGGGCTGATGATTCTTGTGTGTTTGGGGAAGCTTGCCAACTGCCCGGGAATAGTATGCGGGAGTAGTTCGGCCAAACTAGCATGACATGTGTCAGTGTTTAGGGTAGTTCAATGTCCACGCGTCGAGTCCTCCTTGGACGCAGTAAAATCGGTCCCAACACCTTTTATGACCATTTGAATTATATATTTATTTAATTTCTTGTTAATAAACAAAATAATTAAATAATTTATTATTCAACAATTATAAAAGAAAAATAAATTGAAACAGAGTGAATATATGTCCCTTTAATATTTACCTTTAATAGGAGGGGATCTTATGATTAGAGCCTTTATAACTTTATAGTATTACTAGATTAGGACCCGCATATATGCGGGTTTATAATAACAAAATTTTAAAAACATTAAAATAATTTGAAAAACATAAAAATAAAATCAGATCATTGATAAAAAAAATATTAAAAACACAAAATCTCCTGTATATGATTTTTTTGCTTTCTAGAAAAGTTATACTTCTTAAGACTCGTGTCAAAATCTTTTTTAAATGATTTTTATTGATCCTCTTTCTCATTGAACTCATCACTAGCATGTATGATTTCATTTTTATGTAATCATGTTTTGCAAATTTTACATATAAATATTTAAAAATTGTCTAATTATTGAATACTGTAAACACTTTAGATGTATACAATATTCAGTAAAGGAATCTTGAGGGATAAAAATTTGGAATACCGAACGAATCATAATTGATAGAAAATTTGAATACTGTATAAAGTGTTTTGATAATAATAATACAATAAAAGAAGAAAATTACATCTATGGAATGAAGCTCATAAATTATAACTTGAGAGATTTTATGTGTTTATATAGATGCGGATTGTATTTTTTTTTCATTTAAGATTAGTGTTTTAGCATTTTTCCTTTTTCATATTGAATTATTTTATTTATTAACTTTTGTCTTTTTTTTTTCTAAATCGTATTTTTTTTCTTTTAGGATTAGGGTTTTAAGTTATTTTTCTTTTTTAACTGAAATATATCTTTTTATTTATTTTTATTTTATTTTTAATTTAATCGCGACACATGTCAAAATCTGATCGATTGACACGCCACGGGTCGCAATTAGTGAATTACTAAGATTTGTATTGAAATAGGATATTATTAAATTAAAAAGGAAGAGTGATGGTAAAATAGAGAGAAGAATAAAAGAGGTTGTAAAAGTATAAGGAGGGTAGTGAGTTTATTTTTAAACAAATAAGGGTATATTGACTCTTCACCTGTTCAGCGAAGACAACTCTATACTTTCTTTTGTGAGACGTTTACATTGGTGGACACTTTTCAATCAATTGTTTACAAAATAGACACATTCTGCATATGACACACTTTGTCTTATATCTCGCACACCTCGTTTCCTATTTTCCCCCCCATACTATGTAGAATTATTTTTTTATCCACAATAATTTTTTTTTGTTTGTCAACAGAAAGTTAAAAAGGGTCGATATACTGCAATTTTAACAACAATTGCAGTTCACCGCCGATTTGGAAGCCAGATCTGCAGTAGCCATTCTCCGTTGAATTACAAATTGTTGTTTATTTAGGAACAGCAGCGACGGTGAACGGCAGAAGAATTAAAGATGTCTTGTGATAATTGTGTGTAGAAAGAGCTTACTTTAACAGATCTGAAGCCTAGACAGACAAATTAAAAACTCTGAGATCTGCATTGTTGTTGTGCCGTCGTACAATTTCGAGACTGAAGTAAATTCGTTTATCCCATAGAAAAGAGTGTATCGTGGTGGTGATATAACATAAAGTGGATCTATTGCTTAAGAGATGATGTTGACCGATGATATATGGGTAGAAGATGAATTCAGAAATAATAGTTGATTTTGCGATTGCAGAAAAATAAATTCTGGATTGGGTTAGGACATCGATATTCGATAAGAAATCTGGGTGAAGTATTCGTGGTTGATGTACATGTGGATGAAATCTCTGTGGATAAAGCATATAAATAATTCAGTATAATTTAATTGTTAGATTGCTTCATATGTTATTGTACCGATATCGAGAAGTTTATGATGAAACTGTGATAACAATAAGCTTGTAATCTTGTAATAGGTGGAAATACGGCTTATGATGTTTCTGGATCTGGCGTAAGAGTAATGAAAGATTTTAGATATTGGTGAACAAAATATGCTTCTACCAACAGAGATGCAAGCAACCACATGGACAATAACTCATGAATACAATGAACGAACAAGTCACATGGATATAAAATACATAGACGAGAATGGACTGGACAGCTATAGTGGATACTAAACTATCCACCATGGACACATAACTCATGGACACAGAACGTATGGACACACAATTTGTAATACATGTATTTTGTCCATTGTGGATAAAACCTATGAAACTGAATCCATAATCACTAAGAAATAACATATACTCGTTGAAAGTAGAAAGGCTCATGATAACAATAATATAAATGCTTAACTAATAAAAAATAAATATAACTTCCAAATGACAAGAAGGATGGTTGTATTTGGCTAGGAACATAAAACTGGATAAAAAGTTATTATGATGAAATTAAATGTTCTAACAAAGCAACGTTCTAAAACAGCAGGAACTACCACAAGAGTAATTTAACTTGTTGTCTCTGTTCTTTCCATCAGTGACATACACATCTCCATAACTGAAACTTAACACCTCCTCTGTAACTATGTCAGTTGCTGCAAAGAAATAGAGCCGAGGAAGCAAAACCCTTGAGCTTTTCAACAGGACAGTGGATAAATTTCCTCTGTCACAAGAATGGTTTATGAATCTAGCAATGTTCCCCATTCTGGGAGCGTCGATGTTTATTCTTAAGCAAGTTTTTTCTGAAGGGAGGTGCTCACATATGACCTGAAGAGCTAGAGAAAAAAATTATGTTACCAAAGATTATCTTAGAGATTTTGTTGTTTATGTGCTTACCTATAAAAAAACAGCTTCAGGAATTTGCACAAAACGGTCTAACCCCTAATCTAAAAGCTCTCCTCCGAAAAACACATTTAAGAGAAAAGATTTGCTGCTACACTCTTAAAAACTGAAAACAAGAACATATCAAAGGTATAATCTTTCATTGTAATATGATGGAGGTCACTATGATACAATGTTAGAATCTCACACCGATGCAACAAGCTAGATCTTCAAACTCTGGTGCTTTAGAACTTAATGGCTAAGAAGTAATGATATTATAAGTGATGGACACATGACTGTGGACTAGGTAACATGGACAAAGTGTGATGAATAAAGTAGTATGGACAAAGAACCCTAAACAAAGAACCATATACAAAGTATTGTCGATAAAGAACCGTAGGCAAGTGTCATGGACACAGAACTGTGGAACAAAGAACTATGGACAAAATAACTATCGTAAAAACATGTAATATTTAACCCCTAGATGAGAGGAATGGTAAAATATACATTTTAATGGATCTTCCGAAAAAGATATCTCTACTTCGTTGCCAATTATCGTCATGTTACCAACCAAAAAGCCACTCGACGCTTCAATATGGATATTGGTGTTTTATTTACATATGGACCTGATAATATGGACATGATAATATGGACATACAATAAATCAGTAGTACGATGAACATGATAATATGGACAATATTGTAATAGACATATCAAGATGGATACATATTTTACACACAAATAAGTTTGAATTGCAGCTATATTCTTCAATTTACCTATAACAATGGTTGATTTAAGTTCAACCTAAAGACAATATCTAAAATCAATCAAATTGGTGGAACTTATATATGGCATCGAATCCAAATTGATAATTTCAATTTTGTAGCTTATCATTCACCACATTCACACAAATTTTATCCACACTTCTTTATCCATGTACTATCCATAATTATTGTGAATCTCACATTAAACCCATCCATCCTATATTGACCACTTGTTCACGGCCATACGAATATGTTCTCCTAAAAAACAAGCTTGGGCTGAACATTAAGGAAGTCATTTTCTTCGATTTACTGTAAATATGGTTGATTCAAGTTCAAACTAAAAATAAGATTTAAATCATACTCAATCAAATTGGTGGAACTTCTATTTGTCGGTAAATCCAAATCGGTGAAATTTCTATGAATTGTAGTTTTGTTGTCATCGTTGTCGTTGATACTGTAGTTTTGTCGGTGGGTGAAGATGAGAGTTTATACTAATATAATGATTCTGAAAACACTGTCGGTCTTGTAAAAATTGATGTTGATCTTGTCAAAGTTTAATGAATCTTGCCAAAATTGTATGAATTAGTTATGTCTAAAGTTGTGACGGTGATAAATTTGTCGATGGCGGTGAGATGTGAGATATAGAAGTATTTTTTGTTGATGAATTTTTGTTTTTAGAATGTGGAGTAAAATAATTTTGAGTTTTTTTTTTTTGAAACTGAAAATATTATATGCCTTAGTGGGCTGGGTTCAAACTGGTACAATAGTTTTGTAAGGCCCGTTTAGCTAAAACGTCAGCCGAAACATTTGATGTTCTTGCAACAAATTGGAAAGAGATGCATTCGAAAAAGGCTGAGAGATGTTTAATGTCGAACACCACTCCGTAAATCTCCTTCTGATGCATGTTGGAGTTGATTGCTCCGATTAGGATCTGAGAGTCAGATAACACTTTGAGTTTTTTCCAACCTTCTTGTGAAGCTTTCTGCAAAGCGTAGAAGATTGCCAATGCTTCCGCCATTAAAGGGGAGGCCACTGAATCGATGGCCTGAGAATCCTGTGATATGACCGTGTCCTCATGGATTCTGAAAATCCAGCCAAGCCCTGCAACTTGTCGATCTGCCCTCCACGCTGCATCGGTATTACACGTAAGCTCATCCGAGATAGGAGGTGAAGCGATGAGTTGTCTTGTTGGATCTGATCTGATTTCCTCCTTTCCCTGGGCTAGCTGCCATTCTCTGGCGTCCTGGAGGGCTTTTGTGATTGTCTCCTCCGCCGTGAAGATCCTCTTCTCAAAAATCAAGTAGTTTATGGAGATCCAGATCGCCCACATGATCCATGGGAAGATGGTTCCTGCTCCAAGTCTAACGGGAGGCAGACATCTCCAGTGTTTTGATCTTAATAGCGCGGTTGTTTTGATCTTAATAGCGCGGTTGCAAATTCAGGGTAATCCAGAGAATTTACTTGCTCTGCGAAAGGAAAAGAACTCCAAACCTCTTGTGCGTATTGACAGTGAAGAAAAACATGGTTAGTAGTTGTTCACATCTTAAACAATTTTCTGCGTTGGAGATCCCTCTAATACGTAGTTGTTCTCCAATTGGCAGTGCTCTTTGAAGAATCTTCCAAATAAAAATCTTGATTTTTGGTGGAAAATTCTCTTTCTGGACATCATCTATCCAGGGAAATTGAGCTGGCGCCGGGTTGGTGATTTGAGGAGGGATAATTTTGAGTTTTTTTACAGATAATATAAAATGATAATTTACAGTAAAAATTTTAATTATTACGACATGCAGATGAATGGGATTTCGCATGCTCAGCTTCAATCATTACGACACCACATGAGAGAAATAGAGACTTCATAACAGATTTCCACGATGGACTAAGCCGCAAAGAGGTAAATTAAAATGTAATTTTGATGGATCGTATTTAGTGGGTGGAATAGTGGCAAATTCAGGCTGGATAATTAGAGACGAGGATGGTAATCATCATAGATCGGGGCATACTAAAGGCAAATATGTAAACAACGCCTTAGAAGTAGGATGCCAAGCATTGGTTTTGGCTATGAAAGAAGTATGGAATCAGGGTTATACAACAATGACTTTTGAGAGAGACTGCAAGAAACTTATTGACATTATGCAACGGAAGAAAATCAACTTTGACGTTCACAATTGGATCAGAGAAGCAAGATTTTGGCAAGAAAAGTTCGTCGACCAAACGAACTTCAAATCATCCTGCTCATATATTAGCATCTATGCAATCTCGTTCTAATAATTAATTTTCAGTTTTTTATAACATGCGAGATTGTATAGCCTAGGCTATTCAACAAAACATTTGTATATCAACTTAATTTTTCTAGTTCAGTAGACATTCAAAAAAAAAATATTATGGTCTTTTAACAATGTCAAAGTGTGTTAGAAACAAAAATTGTGTTAGAAACAAAAATTATGTAAATGTGTAATTGATAAGTTAAAAAGTGTGTATGGGTGTAAAATTCTCTTCTTTTCTTTTCTATAGGTCAAATAATATATGCGACGCATTAAATTCCTGTCGAACCAAACGCAACCGAACCATTCATTCAATTTATAAATATATTTTTAAAAACATAACTGAAGAAGAAAACCCATTGAAAACCCTAAAGAGTCTTCAGAAGCAATAATCGCTACGAAAGCGAACCCATCCACAAAGTAAACCTCTTAAATTTCTTCTCTCCTTTTGCTTGTGGTTTTAGGTTTTCAATCAGATCAAAACAATCAAGAAGACGCGTCATATACTCAAAGGTGAAGTCAAACCATCTTCGTGATTTCCCCTTTTCCTTTTTTTTTTGTCTGCTCTCCATCGATTCAGTAGCATCCTAAGAACTTGTGCTTGTTTCTTTCTTCTGGGTTTCGTCTCCACTCTCGAAATCTCAGTCGGCTACTTTTGATTTCTTCAATTTCTCTCGAAATTTCGCATTTCTTAGCTTTATGCGGTCTTAATACCTAACTAAATTTGTGATCAAGTCTGAAATTTTCCTTGTTTCAGGGTGCTGAGATGTGTCTATCGCTTGATTCTGGTTTATGGCTTCCTGCGACATTTTGAGTGTCTTGTTTGGTTTAGGTGTTTGGTGCATTGCTTATATAACAGTAGCAATATTTGCATCTTTTAGAATCCTTCACTCTATTTGTTCAATTTGAGTTTTGTGGAGGCTTGCTACAATGGGTTACGCGCAGCTCGTTATCGGTCCAGCAGGAAGCGGAAAGGTTTATGGTCTTATGTCAATTGATTATGTAAAGGTCGAATGTATCAGTGAGATTTGACTAAACGGGTTTTTTGTTTGTATCAGTCAACTTATTGCTCATCTTTATATGAACATTGCGAAACCGTCGGCCGAACAATGCATGTTGTTAACTTGGATCCTGCTGCTGAAATCTTCAATTATCCTGTGGCTATGGGTGAGTGAAATTCTTCTTGTTCAATAACTTTTGGTTTTGTGTGCCTTTTGCTTTCTTGATTTCACTGAAGCTACTACTTTTTTTTGGGGTGAATGCAGATATAAGAGAACTTGTTTCTTTGGAAGATGTAATGGAGGAGCTAGGCCTTGGTCCTAATGGTGGTCTCATGTACTGCATGGAGTATCCTTTTGTTGTCGGTTGAGAACTTTACTAGCTCGGTACAATTGAGTCTTATATTGTTAACTTTATATGACATAAGACTATAGTATAAATAGAGAGAATGGGAAACAGATTTAACTATTTGGTTAGTTGGGACTTGTTAGCATCATGGCTTTGGGAGAGTTAGGAGGTATCCAGAACAAATCTCCAAGATAGTTAGTGTTCTTGATTGTAATCCTCATTTATAGACAAGAAAAACAGATTCGGCACTTGATTCTTATCGATATATCTGTTCAGGGTATTTTTCTCACAAAGGATCTTTTGGGCGGAAATGGAAGAGCCTTAACTCCATATCTATAGGTACCTTGAGGATAGCTTACATGATTGGGTGGATGAAGAATTGGAGAACTACAGGGACGACGATTACCTTATATTTGATTGTCCAGGTGCATAAATGATCAATAAGTTTGGTGCTCGCATACCCGATCTGGGATGTTTTTGTCTCTAAATACTTTGAAAATTTGTTCTGTTAATAGGCCAGATAGAGCTGTTTACACATGTTCCTGTCCTCAAGAACTTTGTGGCGCATTTGCAACAGAAGAACTTCAACGTCTGCGTTGTTTATCTGCTTGATTCACAGGTTCTATATTCTATTTCCCCTTCCACTACTTACTTTTGTTAATCGTGAACTTTTTTTGTGTTGACAAGAGATAAAATTTGTTGGATCAGTTCATAACAGATGTAACCAAGTTTATCAGCGGTTGCATGTCGTCTCTCTCTGCTATGATCCAGCTTGAATTACCACATGTCAACATCCTCTCAAAGATGGACCTCTTGCAGGATAAAAGTAACATTGATGAGTATGGATTCCTATTCTTCACTTTGTTTTTCCTTTTTCCGTTGTTGCAGATTCGAGATTAGTAGTAAAATTGCTTTGGGTTTATGTTGACGCCAGCTACTTGGATCCGAATCCTCGCACATTGTTGGCAGAGTTAAACAAAAGGATGTCTCCTCGATTTGCTAAATTGAACAAAGCCTTGATGGAAATGGTATGGTATTATGATTGTTATTGCGTTTATCGTAGAGCAAGTAATTGATTTTCATGATTGCATTTTTGGGATGTTGTGGTTAATTAGGTGGGTGAGTATGCGATGGTGAATTTCATTCCCCTTGACATTAGGAAAGAACGAAGGTAAACTAATTTTTCTCTCAGTTCTTGCTTCTAACTTAAGATCCAATACAAATACTAAAACCAGCATTGCTTTCTTTGAGCAGCATTCAATATGTTCTGTCGCAAATCGACTTCTGTATCCAGTTTGGAGAAGAGGCTGACGTTAAGATCAAGGATGAGGATGAAGATTTTGGTGATGATGGTCCGGATTCATAATAACTGCTATTTCCATTTCTACGACGTTTTCTTAAAATTGTAAAAACAATCTTGGTCTCATTGTTCTTGTCAGAGGCCAATGTGTTTGTAATAATTACTTTATTGCTGCTGAATATCAAACCTTAACTGAGATACTTTCAAACTTGTCGGAATTTTTGAAACCTGAGTAGAATTGGTCCAGTTTCTACCATTTAAATTCTCAGGCTACGATTTACAAAAAAGAAATAACATTTGTGATAACAATCGAAATCTTGATAATTGACTAATGTTTGTTAATATTGATCTACAGAAATTTTGGCAACGACAACAGAGTTATCGCTTTTGACTAATGCTACTACACGTTCAAAGTTTTCAATCCGAAACCACAAGAAATAAAATTAAATAACTTAAAGCCACACCGATTTTTATAAGTTATTTTATGGTCATTTGAAACATAAATTGCAATTAAACGTCTTAAATTAATCAATTCAACCTGAAAGATTTAAATCAATTGATTAGAACAGAAGAATTTCAACGCTAATTGGTTGTTTTTCCTAGCTCTACTTGATTATGAATGATATTACGATGTTGAACTGTGATTTATATCTAAAATGAACAGAAAACGCAACATTCAAAAACAAGTATGGTTCTAGGCATTTAAGTTTATTATTTGTGGTTTTAGTTGAAAACTTTGTACGTGTATAACTTTGGAAAGATATCTAAACCTTATGTGATTGTAGACATATCTAATGTCAAGATCCGGTTCTAGAAAACCGTAAATTTTACTAGAAGTAAATATTGGACTGAATGTAATTGGATTTTAATCAATTATGAATTAAATTCATAAAGAGCATAGAAGAAGCTCAAAAGCAATCCAATGTCTCCACCCAGTCTTTATAAGAAAATACATAGAACAGAAACGGCACAGAAACGGAACAGCGAAGCTCTGCTAATTTTTCTGCCAAACTCAGCCCTCCGAGCTCACCTGACCAGCCAACTTGTAATGTCTTTTCCCAATTATTCAGGAGGATCCATATATGGAATTTTGGTGTCATTGGAAAGAAGATTCTCTCACCTTTCTGAAACATTTGAGCACGTTTCATTTATATCGTTATTTCAATTGGACGTGCCGAACTGTTAGAAACCGAGTTTTAGTTATATCACTGTTTCTCAAGTTTCGCGAAGCCATTTTGTGAGGCAGTTTCCCGAAGATCTGGAGTGATTCATATTGCAATCTAGGTGATGAGGACATGGACCAATCACTTATACCAGATGAGGAGGAACCGGGACAGGAGAACGTACCGCCAGTCAATGGCTCACCAATGACATGTTCTAAGACTAAGAAACTAAGAGAAGGGTTTAATAAGGCAATAGAAACCTTTTGATCAACATGAACATTGGAGCTATATTTAACTTCCAAAAGAGCCTCATTGCACCCATTATATATATAACCTAGGATTTTGCCAAGATAGGCCTTAAAGAAGATCAGACAAGTACAAACCAATATATGTCCATTTACTTGACAGAAAATGGAGTTCAAAGTGATATCGCCCATAATTGCATCATATAAACTTGCATTTAGTTCATGTTTTAATCTTCTTTTGCATGTTTTCGTTTACTTTTGTCCCATTCTTCCTTGTTTTTAGATTTAGCTTGCATTTAGGTTGTAGTTTGCATTTCTCTTGCATAAGTGATGCTTCTAGGTACTTAAGGAGCCATTCAGGATAAGGAGGAAGTGTGAGAGTGATCCAAGGAGTTTTCCCTATCGAAGAGGAGCAAGAGGAGTAAAAAAGATGGAGATTTGGCCTAGCATCGGTCAAGGCACATGGCACATCGGTCAATGGTGATCGATGTAAAGCAACAGAGAAGTTGGTGAATCACATCGGTCACATGTGACCGATGCGAAGAGACAGGACATCCACATCGATCAACAGCATTGGTTAAGAATGACCGATGTGATCCACCCGAGAGTTTGAAGATTCACATCGGTCAGGCATCGGTCATCAGCTGACCGATGTCAGGCACCAGAGAGTAGCATCGATCAGGTACATTGGTCAAGTCTGAATTCACATCGGTCATGGATGACCGATGCTGACCCAGACTGAAGACAACTTATTTACAATTTTGCTATTCCGCTTAGACTCCTATAAATACTTAAAATCCCTAATTTTTGGGATCATCCTATTATCCAGAAGTTCTTTCTTCTTTTGTTTTTGGGTTACAATTTGTAGTTTGAATCTTTGCTTGATTTTAATAAGAGTTTGCATTTATCTTCTTGTTTAATCTCTCTAATCATGATTTGCTAGCTTTTTCTCTTTGAGTTGATGGTTTTGATGGTGATTAGTGAGTAGTGACTTAGGGATTTGAGATGGGTTAGGTTTAGGGAATTTGAGGCTTAATCTGTGGTTGCTTAGTGCTAATTCTTATATTTCCTTTCTTGATTGCTTTGTTTAATGCCTGATTAGCCTTAGCTAAGTTGATTAGGATATTAGGCTCATTTTATGCCCACCAAGTGTTTGATGAAATGCCTGAACTGCTTTGCAAGAGAATTGCTTGTCCTAGCTCAAGAGATTGACTGTCTAGGGAGTGATTTGGAAATATAGGATTGATAGATTGTCTTAATGCTTGCTGTTTATCATTTCACTAATGAGAATTAGTTCTTAATTTGATGATTAGTAAAGAGATTAATGCCAAGAGATTGGATTAGTCATATAAATGAATCCTATGCATAAGGAATAACATTGTGTGAGTTTGTAAGCATCACAGGTTGAGTTGATAGTTCCCTAACACCAATTATCCCATCTCAAGTCTTGTCTTTCCTCTGTTTTTAGTTTATTTAGAATTTGCTCTGTTTTTGCTTATGTTCAAGTTTTCTTGCTTGCTATTCACTCTTTGTTAGATGTTTGCTTCATTTCTGTTTGATCCCTTAGGTTGTTAGACATCTAAACTCTCTCTATATCTGCTTGAATCAGGAAATCTACTGCATTCCTGCTGTTTCAATCGTCCCATTTTGGATTGACATAAAACCCTTACTACAATGACTAGTACAAAGGGTGAATCTTCCGAGGTCCTCATGCTGATGTGCTGCCCGGTGCAAGTGTTCCTCCTTGCTCCTCTTCCTTTTGTTCTCTTCCATCCATCAACATGAACTCCACTTGATCAAAAGGTCTCCAAAGCTCCATAATACCTGAAATACACTCCAAATGCAACAAAACATGCATTCCTATTCCTAATGCATACTAACTTTACTATGAATGCAAATGGGACTCTTTGGACTATAAAATGGATGATATGCAATAGAAAACTATACTAAATAAGGCCTAAAATGATACAATTATGCAAGCTATCAACACCCCCACATTTTCCTTTTGCTTCCCCTCAAGCAAACAAGGACAAATAAGCGAGTGAGGATTGAAAGTGGGAGCTCAGAACTAAAAATGTCAATGGAAAAAGTAAAGCCAATGCCTAAGTTACAAGTTCTAAGATGCAAAGAGTTTGTTCTACTTTAAAAACCTTAGCCATACTTATCATTAACAAACAATGAACTCAAGCTTAGCCAACACAAGTATTCATATCCTCCAACTCTTTAACATTCATTAAAAGTAACCAAGTGAATCATGAACATGCAAATAAAATCAAACCATTTAGCTAAGGGACATGGTTTTGAGATAAAAATGATCTCAATGCATAAGGGTTTCAAAAATCAAAGGGATCTCTCAATGAAATGAATCAACCTATGGAAAAATGCTAAAGGTAAAAGCCAATTTATGCATACAAGGATGACTCTCATATACCCATGATGCCCAAAGATGACCCTAGCAATTAGGCTAATCCCAAATGTTAACCTTCTAAAACTACCCTTTCCCAAGGCTTTTGTTGTCTTCTCTTTCTTGCATTGTGATCACCTTCTCGTTGTGTGTGGGGAACTCTTCTTCTTCTTTTAACTCCTTTTGTTTCTGCTCTTCCTTGATGTGTTGGCGCCTCCATTGTTTCACCTTTTTAGTGCTTTGCCTGGTTTACTTTCCATTTGTTGAGGGCGCCTTTTCTTCTTTGTAGCTTAGAGCTTTTTCTTCTTGGAATGCCTAACCACCATTTGATAGAATCCCCACATTCCGCTTTTGTACAACAAGTCCCATTCTTTTTTTTTTTCTCCCAAAGATATAAACATTAAAACTCAGTCGACTCTAGCTCATCCCTTTCCCAACCATATAGCCTAGTACTTAGCTCAAGATTCAAGTAAGTATCTACATGAGAACTTCTCCTTGTCGGCCTAAATACTAACACTTTTTGCCTAGGAAGATTCAAAAATTATGCAAAAGGCCTCACAATCACACAAAATAGTGTTTAGGCTTGAAGGAAAAAGCTCAATTCAAGGTGGGATTCAACTGTCCTATAAATGAAGATCAGCTATTTGGACTGACAAGAGTGGTAAAAAGGGAAGAAGATAGTCCAAATATGTATATTGGTATCCATGGAATCACTTTTCAATGCATATACATGATATTTAAAAGTCAATATTATGGTTCTAATTACTAGAGTTGGATTCAATTCACAGCAACCTTCAACTTAAGACAAGAATTTCATAGCAAGAACTCAAAGTATGGTGCAGCCTTAACTTCAAACTCACTACAATGCAATCAACCAACAAGCAACCAAGACATTGAAATCACTTCAAACATGGACATTTTAAGCTTTTTATCTCCTACATGATATTTAAAAGTCAATATTATGGTTCTAATTACTAGAGTTGGATTCAATTCACAGCAACCTTCAACTTAAGACAAGAATTTCATAGCAAGAACTCAAAGTATGGTGCAGCCTTAACTTCAAACTCACTACAATGCAATCAACCAACAAGCAACCAAGACATTGAAATCACTTCAAACATGGACATTTTAAGCTTTTTATCTCCTACTCCATGCCCTTCATACCCTTCTTCATCCACTTTATGGTCTTGGCAAGCTTTTTGATGGTCTTGTCATGCCACTTATTCCATCTTTGGACGAGAGAGGTATGCGTGT